CAAACATCATCAGACGCTTTGTACCAGTATAGGCATGCATTCTAGGCATGTTCCGGGACCTTAGCTGGTTTGCTTTGACACCTCTGGCTTTGCTAAAGAGCCTCCTACTTTATCAGTGATCACCTCCTACTTAAAAATCTATTGAGAACCCTGCTGAACGATTTAAAGTGCTTCAGAAGAAACGTGATTCCTATTCTCTGTCTTATATTTGTATCTTATATCTTATTGTATCGCTTTTTACTGTATGGAAAAATGTAATTTAAGGTAAAGGGCATCTAATTAGCTTGCTATATTATGCCCTTCTCCATCCTCTTATCTTACTTGTAATTATTCACTAGACTCTATGTTGAAATCGAGGAAAAAAAGTTACCAAATACCAAAGATGACAGAGTTGAAAATGGAAATCGACAAAGTTTCTTCCCTGGTTAGTGATGGTGCAAGTGTTATGTTAGGTTCCAGAAAAGGGCTTGCAGCCCGACTCAAAGAAGTCAATTCCGGAATTATTTCAATCCACTGCATCTGCCAAAAGTTAGCGCTGGCTTGTGTCGATACTGCAAAAGATGTTGAGTACATAGGAACTGTCGAGGACCTCCTTAGACAGTTGTGGAAGTATTTGGAAAATTTCCCTAAAAAAATGGCTATTTACTTGAAAGTGCAAGAAGAAGTAAATCTTTTGACTTGTCAAAGAAAAGCAGAAACGTTATAACCAAGAAGCTGAAGAAAGCCTGTCAAACTAGATGGTTGTCTCTTGATCATGCAGTAGAAGCCATATTTGACGACTCAGAAGCATTAATGCGCACGTTATGACTGCTTGAAAGTGATGCAACAGCTTGTGGGCTACTGAAGGAAATACACCGTCCCAAATTCGTTGGACGTGTGCATATTCTCAAGCACATTCTTCCTTTCCTCTCTCAGCTTAGCAAAACATTCCAATCAGGATGTGTAAACTTCAGTCACATTTCCCCTGCAGTTAATCACGCTAGACACAAGCTACAAGTCATCATAGATGAAAGGTTGCCACTGAAACAGTTCATGTAGGATTTGGAAGCGAAGGGAAGGCTAGCAACCCTAGAGCTTGCATCCACAGAATTTCAATTCCAGCAACAAGAACAGCTTCTGCTTCGATACGTCTCTCCGTTGAGGGCTAACATTGATCAGCGTTTTAGCAGTGCCCAGCCAGTCCTTAGCGCATTTGCAGTTTTTGATGTTATGATGGTTCCACCTCCTGAAAGTGTGAACTTCAAGAAGTATGGGCTCAAAGACATCGAAACACTTGCTAAACAATTCTACGATGAGTCCAATCTTAATTATGAAGTGAAGAAGCAACAGTTTCAGGCAGAATGGGGAAAGATTGAGTGGAAGAAAGTCATTCCTAAAGATGTTGTAGATGGTAAATGTCCAACTGTGACTACCACAACATGGACACTTCATCATACGTTGAAACAGTCATCCTACAGGCATTTTTATCCTCTATTGAGTAACCTTTATGAGTGTTGCCTTTCAATTCCCATTTCAAGTGCATGGCCAGAACGTGGTGCAAGCGCTCTTAAGTGCAATAAAACCAGGCTTCAATCAAGGCTTCAAAAATGACATGCTGCAAGCACTTATGCAGGTTTCAATCAATGGGCCACCACTATAGTCCATGAGCCAAATCTCAAAAGAGGCCCAGAAATTGAGTTTCGTAGCACCCCCCAGGAGACATAGTGAATTTGGTATCAAACTAAAGCTTATGACCTATATTTTTAAAATCTACTTGTTTTCAAATCACTAACGTGTGCTATAATGAGATATTGGGCTGTTTCCAAGGGAATGGGGTGAGGAGAATTTGCTTACTATAGTCGTGGTGAGAAGAAAAATGGTCCATACCTCTAACAAACATCAACCAAATTGGTTCAAATCTACAAGATATAGTTGTTGTATCAAGCTACCCAAATGTGTTATCGAACCTGTGGTTTTGGTTTCCATGGCAACAGGCACCAGTCAAATATTGCTTGGTTATGAAATTTGTGGTTTTTCGAAAACAAAATGAAATTCTATATATTTAACCCAAGTTCGATTTCTTGAAAAACATTCTTAACTTATTGAAGACGTCCAGAAGATGCATCAATGTCTTAAAAATGTCTCTGTAATATCCTTATTTATCCTAATATCTTTATTTAATTAAGGTTATTTTCATTTTTCCTTTTTTTTTTAATATTTCATTGAGATTTTTTTCTGTTTGAAAGAACTTCTCCAGCCTATAATTTTAATGAAATGTGCTTTCCCCCGAGATCCTTTGGTATGTATCCCACAATGCATAGTACGATTGCTAATCCCATGATGCTTGCATTTAGAAGAATCGGCCATCTTGGATTACAAAACTCAAGATATAGCTAACAAAACGACGTTTTTAACTTTTTTGGAACGCAAATGTTTACCACAAACCATGTAAAATAATGACTTTAAGTTGAAAAAAGTCTTCTATTGCAAAAGTCGTTTCAGAGGAAGCAGTTTTACAGGCTTTACTTCACTTGACGATCTGTTAGTATCAAATCAGCTAAAACGGATTTGCTTCTTTAATTGCATTTGTTGTGGGACACTAATTAAGTTACGATTGTCAAACGTTTTCATTCCAAATGTCTGTTCCTCGTTATTCAAAACCTAACACAAGAAGTTAACGTTGTCTTCATAGGAATGCTGCTTCAAAAAGATCTGTAAGTACTGAGCCGATAATGACGGTAATTTTTACTGCCTAATGAGTAAGAGATAACAGAGATCAAGCCAGCTTCTAGGAAACGTTCAGCCAGTTTGAACTTGCAGCCCAACTGGAAAAAGTGTCTTTGTCATTTGGCAGAAAGTAGCGGGAAATTAACCTTGTTTACGGAGAAAAGCTGGGAGAAGTTTGAGAACTGCTCTGAGACGAAATGACCACATCTGGCTAACAATGATGAACCACTGGAGAGGGGGACCCAAAGGAGGGTACCACAGGCAATGTTACCAGAGTTATACTATGTAGGCAACATATCTAGGATCGAAGGGACTGCTAACAAGACTGCGCCTGCATCTGCTAATCAAGAAATCGCTGCAGACGAACCAAGTAAAGAGCCACCAGCAAAACGCTTCCATAGATCTCACGTTCAGAGACTTGATATTGATAAATGCATCATTCGCCAAGTGGAGAGATGTAAACGTGGCAAGGGAGCGAGGTCAAGGGAAGCTCTAATCCAGAATATCAGCGAGTATGGCAATGCGTCCCTCCTCAGAGCAGCTGAGATAAGAGGCGACAATCGTGTGCTACTGCAGATAAAAGGACAGGATTGTATTGCTCACGAGATTAAATACCACAGATCGTGCTACAAGAATTATGTTCGCCTTGAGACACTAACAAAGCTCGAAGCTCAAAACTGTACCACTGAAGATAAAGAATCTCGAGGCTTCAGCAAAGCATTTGGCAAATTGTGTAATTATCTTCAAAGTGAAGTCACTATTAAAAAAAGAATCCTCAACATGACAGAACTTGTTGGAAAATTTGTTTCACACCTAAACGAGGAAGGCTTAAACATCAGTGACTACAGGTCATCAAAGCTCAAGCAACGACTGAGAGGAGCATTTGGAAAACAATTAGACTTTCGCAAGCCTTCTGATCCTAGCCAGCCGGAGCTTGTTTATAGCGCCAATGTCGAGAAGGGAGAAATCGTCGAGTCTTTGGTTTCGCATTCAGATATGACAGATGGTGGGTTAGAGTCTGGACTGGAGGAGATTGATGAGCAAGACCCAAGAGCCAGGAAGGACATTGCACATCAGGTTTATCATGCGTCAAAAGAACTGCGAAACCTTCTTCTGGACGTGAAGCCAGTTCTTTCATGGCCACCAAAGGCTGACGAGTTACAATCTGACGCTACTTTAGTGCCTGATATGTTGTACAATATGCTGGCTTGGATTCTTACCTCAGATACCGAATTTAGTACTGAATGGGTTTACTTCAAAGTAAACGATTGATTTATAGCGCACGTACAATTGTCTATTTATATTTTATAAAACAGGAACTATTTTGTTCTTAATGTAAGACTTTCGTATCCGTTTCCTAACAGGCAAGGGAATGACACACTGCACTAATGGTGTTGTTGTCCAACGAATACCGCTTACCTGTGCTCCACCACCAGACATTCAAGTTGAAGAAGCGCATCCTGAGAAGCGCACAGTCACACACATTGCCACCGATGTTATTCCTTATCATTCCGGTCGCCGACAGGGACCTGCTGCTGTGCGGATCAACATCAACCAAGTGATACAGACTATAACAGAAACCACACAGAGAGCTCGCTTAATCGACTTTGGATGGATACTGTGTCGACAGCCACTTGAAGATTCATTGTTTGCACTGTCTGTAGAGCATCCACAAGTCATACCAGCCTGGACAGCGTTCAATATTAAGATAATAGAAGGGAGGGGTCTTCGTGAGAGCTGCGTTGGGTATTGTCCAGTGATCGAAGCAAGCCCCACAGAGTTGCCGACGGTCTATTCACTATTACAGAGGTCTCTGCAGATGGCAGATCAACTCGGGCAGAGAGACATGATCATAGTGTTTGATCAAGCTATATACGCCCAGGCCTTAGAGATAGTATGGCAAAATCCCCAGCAATTTCAGCGTGTGGTTCTTAGGATGGGAACATTTCATACGGTTTGCACTTTCCTTGCTGCAATTGGCAAGAGGTTCTCCGGTGCCGGACTCGAAGACGTTGATTGAAAGTGGAATCGTTGCCACTGGTTCTGTCTCAGATGTGCTCCAAGGAAAGCATTACAACCGTGCTATTCGCACGCACAAGGTAAATATATTTGTTATTTTATTTACGGACAAAACCAAGATATATGCAGTTGTAACACAGGACGTGCGCACTTAAAAGGCATGTATATGTAAAAATAGTGGTTTTTCTTTTGAGATCGTTTTCAAGGCTCTGCATCGTCTACAGTAGCAGCAGTTCAAGGGATGGCTTGTAACTCAAGGGAAACGTACCAGTTACATGCATCTTATAAGTGCATTGCAGCTCGTCAGAGAGGAATGTAATGCTGAAAATTTTAATGTCGTCCTGTCCTTGCCAGAATTTGAAGAGCTAGCTAATCTTTACGAGCAGTACTGCAAAGACGAGAACGACGGTCCCCTGAAGATGTTCTGGAACTCCTACTTGGAGATGGTAGCTACTCTGCTGTGTCTCATCAGGGCCACGAGAGAGGGGAATTGGGAGCTTCACCTGGAGTGCATTAAAGCTGTGCTTCCGTGGTTTTTTGCATATGATCACACAAATTACGTACGGTATTTACCAGTGTACTTAGTTCACATGTTAGAACCTCCAGATACGCACCCCGAAGCTTACAGCTTGCTGTCTCAGGGAGACTTTGGTGTACAACGCACAACCTCCCATGGATTCTCGCAGCTTCCAGTTGACCAAACCATCGAACAAACTTTAAACCGTAACACGAAAACTAAGGGTGGCATAATAGGGTTAAGCCTTAAGAAGGGTGCTGTGCAGTGGTGGATGTTAACTGCTCATGCAAGAGCCAGCTTTGCCGATCGATGTAGAGAGATGCCTTCTTCACATCCTCAGGACGAGATAAAGGGTCACAAGGAGTCGGGCTCGGTTCGCAAGAGAAAGGATGAAGAAGACGTGAAGAAGGTCATGGAGGTGATCAGTCAATGGAGGAATCCATTTGAGACAGCAGACGATCTCGTGAGTCTGAGCTCAGGTTCCATCGCAAGCAGCGCTTTGAAGGAAGACCTGCTAAAAGCAGAAGAGAAACGAAAGTCTGCGTTAGTGTAGTTGTACAAGTTAGTGTAGTTGTACAAGTTAGTGTAGTTGTACAAGACCGGCTGACCAGCAGTGCAGTAGGGTTCTTTGAGACACTACCAAAGCTGAAGTTCGGAAATTCGGAGAGGTTAAGAAGACAGTTAATCAAGGGAGGAAGAGTTTTGTGCTCCGAGCTGATAGAAATCTTTTTTTCAGGCTCCTAGTCATCGGACAGAGTCTACAGATCAACCTGAGAGATCTCCCCACTCACGAACTAGGACCTGTGCCTTGGTCTCTGGCAACCTACGATGGCTCACTGGCGAACAACAGCTCTGTCCGCGACAGTGGAAAAAGTTCCTCGCTAATGGTTTGAACAAGACCAACCTCATGGAATTCCTTGCAGATGTGTGGGGGACCGACCAGCGCTTTGCCAGGAGGATCGGAGAAAGAACGCTGTTTGTCACTCATGGGGAGAGTTGCTTCTAGATAAGCGTTGACGCTCAAGGTAGCATTTCCTCCAGTATTGTGCTTGAACTCTGCAGCAACCAAGAAGAGGCAGATACCCGAATGTTTCTGCATGCCTTGCATGCCTCTGATGCGGCCCATCAACAGATCTTAATCAAGTCATTGGACACTGATGTAGAAGTATAGGTAGCAAAAGAAGGTAGGAAGGTAGAAGGTAGCAAAAACCTTAAGTCCGATAACACATTTGGATAGCTTATGATACAACAACTATATCTTGCAAATTTGAACCAATTTGGTTGATGTTTGTTAGAGGTGACCATTTATCTTCTTACCACGTCTATAGTAAGCAAATTCTCCTAACCTCACCCCCCCATGGAAACAGCCCAATATCTCATTACAGCACACGTTACCGGTTTGAAAACAAGTAGATTCTAGAAATATAGGTCATAAGCTTTAATTTGATACCAAATTCACTATGTCCCATTGGGGGCTGCTACGAGGCATAACTTTTATGCCCCTTGGCTCATGGACTACTACACTCGGACCAGTGCAAGGAACTTGTGGGTGACTCTGTACAGCGTTGGTTGGAGCAAAAAAAAAAGGCAAACCTTGCCTAAGAAAGAAGTATCAACAGATCACCATGGTTGTGTCAGAGTATGTAGAGATGGCAGATGTGGGAGTGCAGGTTGAAACTGTTGAAGCGGATCAATGAAATGATCATCAAATGAGATGGCACTTGAACATGAAGTTGAAGTTGCAGCAGCTGCTTTAAAGCCAACAGACCAGCCTTATGACTCGGAATATGATTCACAAAACTTTGACAGTGATACTGACTAACTAATTTCTGATTAAAATGAGAACTTTTCTATGAGAAAAAGATCTTTACACTGAAATGCAGCACCTAAGGAACAAGCAGATATCATGAATCAAACCTTTGAGTTACAATGTGCTTTAAGTGGAACTTATACCTTTACAAAGGTAACATGATTATGTTAGATCCAACCAGCCTGATTTATACGAGTTAATAACTTATCAGACAGTATGTGGCCAAATTAACTTAAGGTTGCAGCTAAATACACTAAAAAAGTTTTTTTCAAACAATGTAGGGTTTATTTTGCATTAAATACCTAACCATTGATCACCTCAAAGATTTTCAGAGTGATAGAAACAGCTGTGTTCAAAGTGTCTATGAGGTTTAATTTTAAAGTAAAGAAAGTTGCTGTGTCCCTGAAAGAATTAAACTTTTTCTTGTTGTCTTGTTCTGGAACATGGAAACCGAAGAAACTAAACCTTTATACCAAGTGCTAGTTCCCATTACTGAGTGGAGTATGTGCCTACCCAAGTTTACAAGTTGTCAAGTGACAATATTTACCATAATCGTAAGCACTAGCTGTTAAAAAGATGTTAAAAAAATATCATTCCACTTTTTGTTTACACGATTGCATTATTGAAATGTCGCTGTATTTCTTTGAGTAACATGATTTTCACAGTATAATTGTAGCTTAATTCGTCCCTTTAATTTCCGAGTTTCATAGCCCAAAATACCAGGAAATGCATTTTCCAGCATTAAGTTTTCAAACATTTTCCGGAGGAGCATGCCCTCGGACCCCCCTAGAAACGATGGGCTAAAGCCCATGGTATGGGTCCTCCAGACCCACAACCGATTACCTTTAAAAAAGCTCCGGCTTCTTAAAACCTTGAAGGAAATCCTGAATCTCTGGTTAACTATGTTTACCAACACACTGGAAAACCTCCTTCAGTAAGTGCCTTCAGTGACTTTGCAAAACATTACTGAAAAAGTAGCAGAAACGCTTCTTGACGCCAGCAACATTCTTATCACTTTCGATCCTCGAACAAATGTTGTCTAAAAACTGCAACATGTACTAAGCTCAGACAATCAAACCCCTGGAAAACTTGAAGCCATTGATGATAATGGAGCAACTGATGACAATGAAACAACTTCTGGAAATGACCCAACTGATCACAATGAAACAACTTCTAAATATGACGACAATTGGCTTGGTATCAGTAATGACAATAGAACAGAGGATGACACCTGGCTTGATGCCATTGATGACAACGGAGAACCTGGTGACAGTTGGCTTGATGCCACTGATGAAAATGGAGCTACTGATTTCAGAAAATTTCGCTGATATATGATCAGACTAAGTTTATTATCAACCAGACTGAACTGTACGATGAAAGAGAATTAGTTATTTAGTAATTGTGACGTAACATATGTGATTGACGGGCGTACAGATATTCATGACAACTGATGACAGTTGCCTCAATGCTACTGATGATGATGGAGCCACTGGTTATAGTCAAGATTCCAAAAGTTAAACTGTCGCACTAACAAAACTTCACCTGTGATTTCTATGGCTGATCTAACTGACTAATTTTGGCACTTCACTGTAACTTCATTTTCATTCCAATGCTATGCTCACTAGTAAAAGCATCCCTCGGATTCGCCTTCAGGCATCTTGTTCTTCATAATTTGAAAGCATTTAGTTTTAATCTTTGCAAATTACAACATTGTGAGTAATATCAAGTGGAGGGTCATTAGAATACTAGAGCTCATATACACCTCTGTTATCAGATGTGTTTACAAGTTAATCTTTCACTTAGTATATAACTTGAAATTGTTCAAGTATTGTCACTGAGCTAGTTTGGGTGTAACTTGATCTCAAATAGTGAAGTAGAGAGTCATCACTTCAGTCGTTGATCAAATAAGGATATTTTTCAACTTGCAATTTGTTTTTGTACATATAACCAAGAGAGTCAAAAAGGTATGAAGGAATCGTCACAGTAGACAACTGCCACTGAAAGTGTACATAAAGTACAACGACTGCTCCTGAAGTTCATAAGAGGGGCATTAGAAAGGAACTGCCCTGTATAAAAAACTCTAAACTCTTCAGAGAATGAGCTTGTCAGTGCTTTCACTCAAAAAATTGACAAAACAAGCAACAAAAATGATACCAATTCAGAGAAAGAAGTACCTGTGACGTCAGTGTCCAATTCAGCCGAGATCTACATGGAAATTAGTGGAGAAACACTGGAGATAATTTCTATGAAACTAGTGACCATAGTTTAATTTCTGATAATCTTGCTTTAGTTGTAGTATATAATTTGAAAAGGAGTTGGTCTTCTCAGTGTGTCACAAAGAGTCCAAGTATTTTATGTTAAAATATTATCATAATGTGATCATAGTTATCAAGATGCCATTATGAATTAAATTGAATGCTATGGAGCTCACTCTTCACCCTTCAAATCAGCCATAGCTTTCGCATGCATAAATCACTTGAAACACATCTAACATTGTATTAATTGATACCTTTGCAAACAAATGTACTAAACCGATTCACCTTGAAACCAGGTGTTCACAAAGTAAACAAAATCCTTGGAAGTTTACATGCAGGCACCGACATAAATGGAGGTAAATTTACTTGCACCCTCTTGGGAGCAACTTTTATGTTGTTTTGTAAATGTTTCCTTCAAGAATTTAACACCACCCAAATACTAACGTTTTAGTCTAATTATTGTTTAATCAAGACATCTTTGGCCTTGCCAATTTGTGCTGTGACATCTGCATCTGTGCCACCTTGGCTGTTGATGATGCTATCTAGACAGATAAATGTTCCCAACACCTCTAGTGGCTCCCCATCTGGAGTTATTGGTTCTGGGATGCTGGTGTTGAGTTTGAGGATCTTGGTCTTTTCCTTCTGCATGTTATGGCCAATTTGGGTTGAGGTGGCTCTTAGCAAAAAGGTCTTATATTGCATCTGCTGTTGGCTATGGGAGAGAAGCACCAGTTCATCCAGCTGCATCCACATTGTCCACTGGATTAAATTTCTTCTCTGGGCTGTTGTGTCCCTTTGGATTATGACAAATTTCATTCATGGGTCATATTGTTATATGCAGCAGCAGCAGTTTAAACCCAACCCCTCCAAGATTGAAACCATACTCAAGATGGAGCCACCTTTAGACAAAGCAGGTGTCAAAAGACTGAGAGGGACTACCAACTACCTCTCAAAATTTTCCCCTTAACTCACTGGTGTTGTGCATACCATCAGTGACCCAAGGGATTCCGATACTGAATGGACCTGGGACCCTACTTGTGACAAAGCTTTTCAATAAATCAAGCACCTACAGGAAGGAAAACCCCTCGCACACACCAACAGTTGCTGCATAACTGTCTATTTAAACCACAAACCGCTAGAGGGTATCACAAAAAAGCCCCTCAATAGAGCCCTTCCAAGGCATGTTGGTTTTGGCACTTGCCGATTACATCAAAGTACAACATCAAAATTGCAAAGAAATGTTACTGGCAGACACCCTGAGCCAGGCACACCTCCCACAAACCAGCAAAAGACAAATATGAAGAATACAAAACTATCAATGTTGTGACCTTCCTTGTGATGTCCAATGAAAGAATATGGGAGATCCATCAACCACCAACAGTGAACCAGCTCTCCTATCACAGAAGCAAATCATCCCAGATGAAGAATACACAAACTCAGCATCAATGTTGTGACCAAGGAGGAAGATAATTCATCCTTGTGATGTCC